GAGGGCAGCTGGCCGGAGCGGCGGACAGTCCGGCGACTGGTCCGCTGTCGTCTGCGGGCTCTCTGCTGGTCCCTGCGGGGTCACGCTGTGCCCTGGGTCGAGCATAGTGAAATGTGGACCATGCAGGCTAGGGCCAATTGAAGGTCGTACAAAGGCCATGGCCAGCATTGGGCATGCAGGCAAGTGAAGGCCATTGTTCTTTAGATAGGAGACAGGCAACAGTGAGCCGCGCGCTGACATTGTACGGAGTATGGCCGAATACGTGTCACACGCCGGGCCAGCCACAGATCTGTCTGACCACATGCGAGCCAACTGGCTAAGTCTGCGTTTCAGGTGTCTTGGAACCCCCCAACCAGCTGCCTCCATGGCTGGCTAAATATAACCTGCCAACTTGCGACGTGCCTCGCTAGATGTCACCACCGCTGGTACGCGTCGCCACTCACTATATGTCGCCGCCGTCGTCAGGAGCCGGACCCAGACGCGGTGCCGCCTCGGCACCGCCGTCCGGCGCGCCAGGGAGGCCGTGGCGGCGGGCGCTCCGCCGGTGCCGGCGTCCAGGAGGCGCGCGACCCCCTGCTGTCCGGCTCCCAGCCGGGCATGTCCCTCATCGGCGCTCTGCTGGAGACGGACGCTCGCAACCGGTGAGGGTCGGCAGCGGGGAGGGGATGGTGGGGTGGGTGAGGGCCACTTGCGGGGGGAGATGGGGTGGGTGAGGGCCTCGAGCGGGTAGGAGATCGTGGGTTGGGTGAGGGCCTCTAGCGGGGAGGAGATGGCAGGGTGGGTGAAGGCCGGGAGTGGGGAGGTGATGGCGGCGTGGGTGAAGGCCGGCAGTGGGGAGGTGATGGCGGCGTGGGTGAAGGCCGGCAGTGGGGAGGGAATGGAAGGGTGGGTGACGGCCGCGAGCGGGAAACGGGTGGACGGGTGGGTGACGGCCGCGAGCGGGAAGGGGGTGGACGGGTGGGTGACGGCCGACAGCGGGGAGGGGGTGGAGGAGTAAAGGTTGCAGACACGTCAGGGGGGCGTCAGGGGCGTCCCAAAGCTGTCCATGGTTTGTTTTTGTTTAGCTGATAATTAATTAGGTTAGGTACTTTCACCAGAGTATTAGGTTGCAACAGCTCTCCTCGTGGTGTCTGCACCAAATGGGATCGTTGCACTTAAACATGTTGCAGCCCTCAGCCAGTGTTCACAACCTTCTCCTGCTGGAAATAACAGACCCTTATGATGCCCATAGGCATAAGTTCAGGATGCCAAGTAATACCTTAAATGAACTGCGGAAGCCTGACGCCACCAGCCCATCTCACAAGCCCATCTCACGAACCCATCACACGAGCCCATCTCACGAAAACATCTCACAAGCCCATCTCACGAGTCCATCGCACGAGCTCATGCCAGGTCAGCGACCTGTCACCTGTGCCGGTCCACTGCCGGCTGTCAGCGCGCGCCACCTTCCGGCGAGCTGCTCCACTGACCCGCTGATGGCAGCCGCCACCAGGGAGCCGGATACGCACGAGGTGCAGGGCGCGCTGTCGGACGAGATCGGTGAACGCGTGCGCCGCCGACTGGTCGACATCGTCCAGGAGGGCGGCACCCTGGTGGAGGAGGCCGACGCCATCGTGCGACGCGGCTCTCGCCCTGACCTGGCGGCCGGCGCCGGCTGTGACGCGGGCGGGGCTGGCGCGGACGCCGCCGGCGCTGGTTTTGGTAGCGGCGTTGCCGAAGATGGGGCAGCCAAACCCGCCACCCCCGCTCCCGAGGCCTCTGACAACGGCGAGACTGGCGCCGTCGCAGTCGGCGACGGTGGCGCCATCGCAGTGACCACTGACGCAATGTCCGTCGTCGCCGCCGCCGGCGCGGGCGTCTCTCCTGCCGGCGACGCCAGCGCCCCCTGGCTGCGGCGCCGCGCGCGCACAGATCCTCCGGCCGGGGCTGCGGTGAGGCAGGCCGTGGTGACCGCTCAGCAGGCGGCCACCTGGGGCGCGGCGCGATCCGACCGCCTCCTGGGCGGGCCGGGCCTGCCGCCGGCGGCTGGACGTGGAATCTCTCCAGATTTGTGTTTTACGTGTGTGTGTTTGGTGTGGAGCTCCGTAAATGGAGCTCCGTAAATGTTGGGGCGCTCTCAGACATAGTCGAGTACGCGCCACCGCCGAGCGCGAGTGCTTTACCGCCCGAGTCTAGTGGTGGGTGGAGGCTGTTTATGGCGCCACGGTTTTAGCTGGTAGTGACCGGGAGGACGGTAGATGGCGCCATCTACCCGCCATTCAGGACGTGGGATGGCGGGAGCTGCGAACCCACTTGGGCAATGTGTTTCGTGCAGCCGCCAGAGGATGGCAGATGGAGCCGGTACTGGCTGTGCAAGCTCAAATTGTCTGCATTCCCTGTAGCGCGCTGGGTGCGTTTTGAATCCACTACAACGCGTGGAGTGTTTTTAAACGACTGTGGATCGTGGGTGCCTTACAACGCTGACGTGCGTGCGTGTGTGTGTGCGCGTTCTTGACGTCCTTCATTGCCTCTCGCGGCGCGTGTTTTGGTGCCTGTCGTGTACAGGGGCGATGGGTTTTGTATTCCAGCGAGCCCGCGTGCTGTAGAGTGGCCGGGCGCCAGCCCGCCCTCCTGGTCACATTCGAGCATCGCGTGGTGTGGCGCGCGCGGCGGGGATCGCGGCCGCCGGCCGTTGGCGGTTTTTCGACGCGCTGTGTGGGTGATGCCTAGCGGGGTAGGGATCCGACCCGTCGCCGTTTCCGGTGCGTAATGGGTTGACATGTGCATTATATTCGAAGGTCTAGCCATGCAAGCCAAGTAGGCGTTGCACAACCGCGTGAGTTGTTTGTAATAATTGCCGCAACTGTCACAAAACTGTGCCTCCGAGTCGTAAAGACAAACATCGAAGGAATTCACCGAGCTCTGGACGATTAAATCCCCCCCCCCCCCCCGGCGGCGATAAGGTGGTCACCGTCGGTCTGCACCAGACAAGGCCGATATGGTTTCCGGTAAGGCCGATAAGGCCGCTCTCCGGTCCCGGCGCGGCGGCCGGCGGAGGTGCTCCCGCAAACGGTCATGTCTCAGCGAGGCGATACTGGCGATACCACTGCGATAGCGGCAATCGCCGCCGCATGTCTGCGGCCCATGTGATAGGTGACGTCACGTGACGTCGACGTCGCCCGGCCCAACGGCGGCCGAACGTGCTGGTTCGTCACCGGAGGCGAATAAACACGACGTTCATGGCGCTATGTGTGCGGCTGGCTTCAGCCGTGCCGTTTGTCGCGACGCCTCGAGAGCCGGAGGCAGGCCGTGAGCCTTCCGCCGCGGTCGACATCAGCGGTGCTCTGGGATCGATACATACACTTTGGACGTCGGTGACGCCGCCTGTAGCAATCCGAGGCCTAAATCAACCACAGTAGCCGGCGCGCCGTATACCCGAGTCACGGCCGAAAATGAACGACGCGCTTAACGTCCTGCATGCAATATGATCAGTTTACCAATAATATCGTATCATCATCATCATCATATACGATCATCCCCCGGCCAATGGTGTGGCAGCCACTACGGCCGTACACGGCGCTGGTGACCAAGGTCACGCGCCTCATCAGTGTCACCAAGCAACGTTTCCGGGCAAGCACCTGCAGTCGACCCGGGGCTGTTTAGCAGCATGGGATGCGCGCGGGCGTCGCATTCCTTTGTGAGTGGCATACGTTGGCGACGCATGCGGAGGGGGGGGGGGGGGATGCCGGTAGTGAAGTCTGGGAAACCAGAGGTACGGAGTTCGATTCCCCGCGGTGCCCGCCCTTCCTGCCAGGGTGAGAGGCAGGCGGCGCCATATAGCCTCAGCAGCTGAGTGCGTCGTAAAGCCCCAATGGCACACGACACATGCAGCTGGGAACTCCGCGTTCAAGCCGCTCGGCCGTCTGGCGGCGGACGTGACTCGGTCTCCACACGCAAAACGGCTCTGCGCTCACACTTGGCGACGGCTAGACTGATCTCGTGCAGTCCGTCCTGTGTCACCTCGTTTTCGCGGTCGCCTCAGCTGAAGTGATCGCAAACGATACGCCCCTCAGCGTCTGTATGTATTCAGAGACACGGGCAGTGACGGAGAGGCGCCAGAGCTCGTTCGTGGCGCCGTGCGGATCGCCAGGACGCGGTGGCGGTAACCACTCGACAGCGCTCCGCTGCGTGTGACATGATCACCGCACGACACACCCTCACCGGGTGAACACCGCGGGGCTCGCCACTCGCTCGGTGGGCCATGGCGTGCCATCCCTGTTACTGTGCCAGTCAAACAAGCGTTTTACGGCAACCCGTGGGTGCAGCACACGTCCCACACGGTAAACCCTGCATCAGGTGAAACGGCCGGCCTCGACATCAGTTGACAAGTCCAGCTTGTGACGAGCACGGCAAGCTATAGTGCGAATGTCCTATTAATTCATGCGAATACGACGTGTGACGGAATAAGAATTTTAATGGTACGATGACATGTATTTGAACCAAACGTTAGTAAACGTTACAGAATGACATTCAAAGCCATTTCTCGCCTGGTTTTACCAGCAACCAGACCCCACATGATTTCCATACAAAGTCAGCAACACACTCGGCAGCTTTGAAGGACAACCACTCTCGAAAACACAGGTATTTTATGAGCACACTGGTTTAGGTTTTTGGATTAGAGCCCTTTCGACCAGACATGATCATTTCAGGGCTATGGGATAAAGGAAATTGGTTAACGATGGGACAGACGTGCGTGCGCCTCGGGGGCCAACCACCGAGCTTTAACCCACGCATGCGCGGGTACCCGGTCGGGGTCCCCCTTCCCACGGGGCTCTCGGCCCACTCGTGGCTGACGCATGCAGCCTACCCCGGACAAGCGGGGTGTCGCGAGGACGCAGGATAAAGCAAGATTCAGGACAAAAGGGACGGATGAGCACACTGTATGCGAATTGGACCCTTTACCGGAAGACATGAGCTGGAGGACCGAGTTCCCCCCTCCCCCCCCCCCCCCCCTCCGCCGGCAAAGCACCACACACACGTGTCCAGGACGTCCAGGCTGATCCCCTGAGGAGATTGGAAGACCGGCTTCGCGGCGTGAAGCGGGTGCAGTCCTTCATCAGGAGCTGCCGTTGAACAGCGCTTTCTTGACCGGCGACGCGGCCACGGCGACGCCAGCGCCGTTCTGCGGCGGCGAGTCGAAGTAGCACTTGCGGCAGACGGCCAGATACTTCTCGGTGCCGCCAATCACCTCCACCTGGAGCCAGACACTCGTCAGTCGGAGTTTGTAGCAGAACGGTCATCAGCTCGAGGGCCCTGGGCACAAGCATTAAAGGAAATGATCCACATTTGAAGATGTTGAAGCAGACGTGAGATGAGATGTAATGAGCTCACTTATGACTGAAAGTTTACTTTTAGGTGCAAAATAATACTCAACCATTGACCAATACACACCAGTATTTTACCAATAGACAATACCATCTCTCTGTTCAGTTAATAGGCTTCTCAACTATTTGTCAATTGTCATTTGATTGCGTCACCGTGCCTTGCACATTGACTGCGAGTCAGTCGATGGCCGTTATATCTGGGAATTGTGCTCACGGACGCCAGAACACGAATTATTTGACAATTATACTTTTCTTGGCTGTTTTCGGATACCTTTGGCATGGTGAGCAAATGTAACGGCCTATTCGAACTTGCACGCTACACTCATGAGCCCCGCCTTGAGACGTGCTACCGTTTACCAACTCGCTGTGCGTGGAACGAACGTCACACACGTACGAGCAACCGATAGGCAATCGCGGAAGACAGAAGGAACATCCGTGACGTCCGGATTAACTGGCGGCCACGGTCATCCCGAAGCCAGAGTCGCTCTCGCTGGCGGCCCCGTCGCCCCGAAGCCAGAGTCGCTCTCACTGGCGGCCCCGGTATCCCGAAGCCAGAGTCACTCTCACTGGTCGGCCCCGGTCATCCGAAGCAGAGTCGGCTCTCACTTGCGGCCCCGGTTCATCCGAAGCCAGAGTCGCTCTCACTGGCGGCCCCGGTCATCCCGAAGCAGAGTCGCTCTCACTGGCGGCCCCGGTCATCCCGAAGCCAGAGTCGCTCTCACTGGCGGCCCCGGTCATCCCCGAAGCAGAGTCGCTCTCACTGGCGGCCCCGTCGGCCCGAAGCTAGAGTCGCTCTCACTTTCAAAACACCGCGGGTTTTATCAATGGCGGTGCACTCTGCAAAAACTGCCCCCCATCGCACTCACCTCCGTTTCGAGTCCGCGTCGCTTGGTGTAGCTGGCGGTGCGGAAGCACTGCATGCAGACGGCGTTCAACTTGACCACGCTCTCCGCCAGCGGGACCAACCGCAGGATGTCTCCGAAGGCCTGCCGAAGCGGTAGAAGATGCCGTCAGAGCGGCGGGGTAAGGAACGCCGGGCAGGCGGGAGGTGAAGCTTCACCACTCTGGGCCAGTCGTCGCTTGGGTAGGAAGGAACTCACGGTAGAAGTGATGGCAATAGTGTGTCACATTGCGCGGTGAATAGATAAAAAGATGCAGCTCGGAACAAACTAAACACAGGATGCGGGCGGGGGGGGGGGGGGCAGGGGTGGCAAATGGCACAACAAACCTCCAGGGTATTGGTAACAGCAAGCCAGCCATACCGAACGAGATATTTATCACACCTGACACACAACGCGCGCGCGCACACACACACACACACACACACACACACACACACATACACACACGCACGCACGCACGCACGCACGCACCCACACACGCAAGTTCACCCGCTCCCTTGGGGGCTCCTATTTACATAAGGAGAGTGTACAGGGCTCAGGCTGGGAGAAGCCTGAACCCCGTGCACGGATGATAGCGGGGACGATGGCATTGGTGAACTCCAGGGAGTCCCGTTCAGCTCATCTTTATATAGAGATCTACAAAAATCTGCGTATTCTGCGTTTCCTGGATTCACGTGGTCAATCTCAAGTAGATTGTACTTGCCTGCCTCTGGAAGGTCGCGTCCAGAGCCGCCACAATGACGATCTTGCCCAGGTTGGCCAGCTCCTCGGCGAACGGCACGCAGTCGGGAAACTGAGCGAGCGGGCCCATAGGTCAGGTCAGAGCAGGTCAGGTCACAACGGTCCTACCAGTGACGTCACAGACGTCGGCTGTCTTGGAGCGTCATTCGGGCCTCATTAGACCTCATGGAAACGAGCTGTGAAGGCTCCCAAGGTCTCCGGCATTCAAAAGACAATCACGTCAACAAGCACAACATACACAACGACGGGTTAGACTTGGCTAGAGCCATACAAGAGAACAACCCCCTTTCCTAGACAGTTGGACGTAATGAAACTGAATTTGTCGCTGAATTCTTAAGGCATGGTGCAAGTCCTGCTTAGTGGCAGGCCTCGTTCTCACGTCCACAACTAAACGCTGACAACTTCCAACTCCTGCGCCTTCACGCGGGCTCCAACGCATGCGACAGCAGCAGACGAAGGTGGTGGTCGGCTCAAATTCGCTATTTCCACCCGCCGCCACGGACGCAGCATGAAACGTCTTCTTCGCCGGGGAACCTCCTCACTGCCGGGGGCGATCCACAAGCGTGTCGGCGACTCACGAACTGTCCCTCGTCGATGCCGATGACCGAGTACTCGGTGTTGGCGATCCGTTTCAGAGGCTCCAGCGACGTGGCCGACACGGCCGCCAGCGTCTGCAGGTCGTGCGTCGAGATGCCGCCTTCGTCGTACCTGGACATGACGGCGACGACGACAGATGATTTGGGGGAAGATGATGGCGAAGGGGCGCTGGGCGAGAGCTCCCATGCACTGACTGACAGGTTCCTGCCATTGCTTTGCATCATACAGGGGCTCACGTTCAAGTCAATGACTTGCGAGATGAGCAGCTTCTCAGTTAAGCGTACAACGTAAAATCACAAGGAAACTAAGACCAAGGTCGAACGTGAATATAGGTGCGGAGTTTGGACTCTTATGGAGGAAGAACTGATCGCTCAGACAGACCCAGTGGAGTCTGTCTGTGACGTCTGTCTGTGACGTCTGTCTGTGACGTCTGTCTGTGACGTCTGTCATGTGATGACTGTGGTGCGGACCGCGACCGGCCATCATCACCACCACCACCAGCACCGCCATCAATCAGCGTCACCGCAGGCTACGGACCGCGACCGGCCACCACCACCACCATCACCACCACCAGCACCGCCACCAGTCAGCGTCACCGCAGGCTACGGACCGCGACCGGCCACCACCACCAGCACCAGCACCGTTACCAATCAGCGTCACCGCAGGCTACGGACCGCGGCCGGCCACCACCATCACCACCACCACCACCAGCACCGTCACCGTCGGCCAGCGCGCTGAGTAGGGCCAGCCAGCACCGGCACTGACCTCGTGTCCTTGGCGTACTTGATGATGAGGCAGCGGTGCTTGGAGACCTGGTATCGCTTCAGGCGACGGATGAGCTCAGTGGTCTTGCCGCTGAACATGGGGCCGAAGATCACCTGCCGGCGCGACCCGTGCTCAGCTCCGCCCGGCCACCGGTGCGGGGAGATGGAGCCCGCCAGGCGCCGGTGGGGGGTATGCCAGGAGCAATGGTACCGGCCCTCGCGGTGCAGGGGTTGAGCCAGGGGTCTCTGATGTCTTTGGGGATGGCGCCAGCACAGAGGTGGAGTACGGAGTCACAATGGGTCAGGCCAGGGGTACGCATGGGTGAGATTACGCAGCATATGCTGCTGGCATTAGGCGCGTAAAGAGAGCAAGAATCGTCGTTCAGATGTCGGCCCGGGGAACCCCACAGAGATCGAACAGCGGTCACGGAGAGATCGATTATGAGGGGCACACCAATGTCGAGTAGGGGCTGATCACGAACACACGGCTCGATTCAAGGTCACATCGGAATCTGGTCGCAGTTGCACAGGGGCTGTTAGTGCTCACATGAGTCAGTGACGTGCGCCACGTGAGCCGATCAGGACTCGTCTGGATGTTGCTAGAGGTCAGTTCGCTGTCACATGCGGGATGGTTGGGATACAAGTAGATCGCGTTCAAGGATCGCACAGGTGGGGTTTCGTTCAAGGATCGCACGGGTCAGTTTAGGGGCGGTGCGGAGGGGGGGGGGGGCATTGAACACGACGAGCCAAACTGTCCAAGTCCATGTATATCCAAGCCATAACAACATTCACATGCATCATATTCACTGCACACTTATAAGATATCTCCATACCGACCCCGATGCACAAAAAAGACGTCTAATGACATGAGCGCCGAAGAGGGACCGAAGTCCTAAGGAACGCTGCGCCATGGACCGCGCCGCGAGCGGCTCCAAATGTTCGACACCAATGACCGCGATACTCAATAGCTTCTAGACTTAAAGCTCACATGTTTTAACAGCCTCGCGGCTGTGACCCGCCCCAATGAAGACAAAGTATCATTACTGCTTTGTCTTGCGCCACGATTACCCGGGGCAGACTACACGTCCGAGCCAGGAGTGGGCCCAAGGCGCCCCTTGGTGGGGCCCCGTCCGAGTGCTCGGCACGACACCCGCGGAGCGGTCGCAGTGCAGGCTGCCCCGGCGGAAGACCCCATGTGCGTGTTGGCTTGCCCCTCCGTGATCTACTCTCCTCGATCCCATAGCCCCGCAGTGGTCGCAATTGGCCAGATAGGTCTAATCCACACAACCAAAGTGATGGCCTCGCTGCACGCCGACTATTTGCCAGTTTAACTGCACGACTCCACAATTGCCATCAACAAACTTGCCGCCAGTTGCATTTGTTTACATCACTACTAAGCACGTGGTGGATTTATGGCCCGCGCTGAGAAAGCTGATACCCAGGGCGGAGTGGCCCGGGACTGAGGTAGGACATGCCGCATTGCGTGTGATTGGCCGGCTCAGCGCAGGACCGTCCTGAAATCAGCTCCCGACCACAACACAACGCGGCCAGCGAAAATATCTTAAAATTTTATAGTTTTTTCTTTTATCGCCAACAGCGCAGAACTCCAGTAACAGGTGAAGTCCACGTGCGCCGGCGGAGACGTCTGAGCTGGCGACGTCGGCAGAGTACACACCCGTCTTCAAACGATCTGTATATTCACGATAAGAAAACATTTCCCGGATGCTCAGCGTCGGGCCACGTTACGTAAGAGGCTGACGACCGGCCCCTCGGCCGGACGCTGATCGCTGTAGTGTTCGGACTGACCGCTCACGGTAAATCCACTTCACGCGTGACAACGTGCGATAACATGAGACGTGAACATTTAAACACACATGAAACTGAGCGACCGGTGAGAAAATTGGTCCAGTTACGCGCAAGCCATCAACTGGCGATTAGCTGACACGAGCCACACGTGCGCTCCACCCGATTCACGCGGTGTTACACCGCGACCGCATCCGCTGCGGGCACCTAAAGGACCGCAGCCTGACGAGTAACGCAGGAACAGGGCTTCGAGACGGAATGGCGAGCACGGCACATCCCAACGGAGTTGAAGCCACTGCCAATTCGGTAAAAAGCAACGGCAAATGCCCAGCAATCACCGGTTCGCGGTCACGGCAGGCCAAGGCGAGTCCCGGGAGCACAACACCGCAGCGTCGTTGAGTGATTCGCACACGTTAGTTTATCTGGCCGCAGACACATTGTACATGGCACCAGCACGAACGGCTACAATATCCACAGCGGTGACAAGAGTATCAGTGTATCATGCAAAGCATCGCAACATGAAAGGAAGTGTTACAGGTATTACAGCATAGTGAAGCAAGGTTCGTTCAGCTTCAGCAAACCAAGCGACGGTTCTGAGGGGTACCACACATCGGCAAACGGCCTTGTAACACGCTATACATGATTTGTATTGTCAGCAACGGGTGCTAACATATTCGTCAGTGCGTAGCTGACCCACCTCCAACTACACACGGCGCCAGCAACGCTCGGACAGCATTTCGATGCTGTAATTCACACAAATCTTAACATGAGGCACTAAAACCGGACAAACATTACTTGTTTCACAGTTCAACTACTTAACATCAAGGACCACAGTGTACACAGGACATGAGCATCTGTCCAAAATATCTACCAGAGTATGTGATTCCAGGTCGCTATCTCACCCCGCCATTCATGAGTTAGTTTAGCCTCTTGACTGCCACAGCCAGTGATACAAAGCCATACAGCCATCGTTGAGTTTACTGCGAGAAGCAGCTGAACAGGCAATGCTATCTTGCACTCTTGGTACGTGCTCTAGACCATCGATCACATGCATTGTACCCATTTGTTTCAAAACCACGGCACCAACAAAGCAACGATTACTGGCGCGATGTGGCACACTAATCTCGAAAACGCGCTGGCACACACGAGAAATCACTCCCAGTGTTAGGGTCCATTTGGCACAGGCAGCACGCAGCCAGGCCAAAATACAATTACTCGACTTCTCAGTTCGCCGCCATGCCACGGCCACATGGCTCCGCACAAGGGAGGGTGATCCTGGAAAGTCGGCTACGTCCCCTCGTCCGCCAGAATGACGCAGGATCGCCCTTAAGCACAATGCCAACAAAGTAATTGCCGTCAACGCGATCTGTGCTTCATCTCTCGCCGTCTCCTGGGACCCGCCCCGTGACCTCGTGTCACCGCCGTCAGGCCTCGTCGGCCGCCGCCTGGCCGGCCACCTCCACAAACACCCTGCCGAGCGCCTGGCGGCCCTTGCCGGCGTGCTCCAGCGGCGTCTTGCCCTCCGCGCAGCGGGCTGTTCTGTCGGCGCCGGCACGCAGCAGCCTGCGGCAAAGTTCGGCGCTGCGCCGGCCGCACGCCACGTGCAGCGCCGTGCGGCCGCGCTCGTCCGCGCAGCACACGTCGGCGCCGCGCGCCAGCAGCTCGGCCACGCCGGCGGCGAACTCGGCCGCACAGGCGCAGTGCAGCGGCGTGGCGCCGTCGGCGGCGGCAGCGTTGGCGTCGGCGCCGCTGTCCAGCAGCAGGCGCGTGAGGTCGGCGAGCCGCGCCGCCGCCGCTGCGTGCAGCGGCGTGCGGCCGGCCCGCGTCGCGCACCGTCACCGGCAGCGGCGCCGGACTGCGCTGCGCCGCCAGCGGCGCGCAGCGCGCGCACGCGCACAGCGGGTGGCAGAGCGGCGCCGCACCGTCGGCCGCGCTCAGCGCCAGGTGGAAGCACGCCAGGCGCTCGTCGCCGGCCGCAATGGCGGCGAACAGGCGCCGCACGGCGCGGCCAGCGCCGGCGGCCGGCGCCGCCGGCGCTGGCGGCGGCGCGCCCCGCAGCCGCACGAGGCGTTTGGGCGCCGAGCGGCGGTACAGCTCACACGCCTCCACCAGGCGGCGGCCGAGCACGTGGTCGTGCGCCACGTCCAGCGGCGTCAGGCCGCGTCGGTTGAGCACGTCGCGCGCGGCGCCGTGCGACGCCAGCAGGAGCGCGATGCCGTCGTACCCCCAGCGGGCGGCCAGGTGGAGCGGCGCGTCGCCGTCGCCGTTCAGCGCGTTGATGCCGGCCGGCGCGCCCGTCTGCTCTGCGTGATAGAGCAGCGCCTGCACGCAGCCGCGGTGTCCGTTGTTCGCCGCCAGGTGGAGCGGCGTCGCCCCGCGCCGGTCGCGCCGGCCGGCCGATGCGCCCAGGTGCAGCAGCAGCAGCACGGCGCGCTGGTGGCCGCGCGCCGCCGCCGCGTGCAGCGGCGTGGCACCCGCCTCGTCGCGCGCGTCGGCCGCCGCGCCGCGCGCCGCCAGCGCCTCCAGGCAGCGCAGCGCGCCGGCCGCCGCCGCCACGTGCAGCGCCGTGCGGCCGGCGCCGTCCGTCGACGCCATAGTCGGCGCGACCAAAGCAGGACTGCGACGCGCGCGCTGGCAGCCGTCGCAGTCGCAGAGCGGGTGGCAGAGCGCGGCGGCGGCGGCGGCCGGCGGACGCGCGTCCAGCAGCGCTTCCAGCGCCACCGCGTCGTCGCGCGCCACGCGCGTGAACATCTCCTGCACGGAGACGGCGGTGGGCGCCGCGGCGACGGTGGCGGCCTCCTCCGGAGGCGGCAGGTCGGCCTCAGGCAGGCTGGAGCCGGCGAGCGCGCCCGACTTGACGTGCTCGATGGCTGCCTCGAGCGTGGCAACGAGGAAGCCATACTCGTCGTGGTTGCAGGACGAGGCGGAGAAGTGGAACATCTTAAGCATGATCAGCTGAGCGGTCCAGCTGGCGATGGGTGTGTGCAGGATAAGCAGCACAAAGATGGGCAGGAGGTCATCTGAGGAGAGGGAGGAGTTGAAGTCCTGGCCATCAATCTCCTTTGTCACCCGCTTCAAAGTGAGGTACTTTCCAAGGGGGTGGTGCTGGCGTGTCAGCTTCACCAACTGCTGACAAGCTGATGGTATTCTGCCCTCAAACTGGGCTCGGATGCCCAGGTCACAGGGCTGTAAATCCTGAAGGTTCTGGATCTTCTTGTTAAGATCTGAGTCATCTGCAGCAGTGGCAGCTAGGAGTCCCTCCATCAGGCTTTGATAGAGCAGATACAGCACATATGTCTCCAAGGCCAACTTTACTGACTCAGCAAAATGGTAGTCTTCCTTGAATTGCTCTTCAACATTTCCTTTTTCGCAAAACAGCTTGAGAGCTTTTGAATAGAGATGACTGACCTTCTCCCACAGTTCCTGAAGACTCATAGCACCCAGATTCTCATGGTTCCTGACAAACCCACCACAGCACCTGTTCACAGCATTGACTGCATGGTGGCCTTTTCCAGCTGTCCACAGGAAGCTCAAGCAGTCATGCATGCCACTCAGAGTTTGCAGGTCGGCACGCACTTGCACATACGGGCTGCCTGACATACACAGAGGACATTCAAGGCAACAGATTATGTGCTTTGACATGTCATCCGAGTAGCAGGTCTCTGTGAATAAAATGTGCACACTTTTATCCATCAAGCCGTCTTCCTGCAAGATGTAGGCATTGTTCTTCTGCTTCACACACTTGTTGGTGATGGTATGAAATGTGCACCGATCGTCTGGATCGGGCACTAGGATGTGCGACAACATGTCATCATCAGTTAGATCATCAGACTTGTAGCTGCCGGATCTGGGTATGCATATAACCCAGCCATCTGATACAGCTTTGCTATATGCATCTGGAAATCTGGCACACAGGTCTTTGAAAAATGGGTTTTCAATAAGGTCCTCGTCATATTTACATCCTCCCTGAGGTTGAGCCATGTTGACCTGCTCTCTTCACTGGTTCCAAAAAACCACTCGCACCAGAGCGCACCAATCACCGTGATTACATACTGAGTTACCGCGGGCCGCGCGCACCACGACCACCGCCAGACGCGCCGCGCCCCCCGTCGCAGCGGCGTCCGCCCAAGGTCGTATCTGGTCGTCTCCAAGCGGCGTCGGCCCGCCCGTGCTGCGCTTCCCGTGCGTCATAATTGTCCTTGGATTAATGCTTCCATATCCTGAATATGCGTTACTAATTTTACCGCTACACATTTTTCAGCGTATGCCGTGCTTGACCACAGATTTGGACAGTGAGTTCTCTTCCCAAATATTCTTCAGCATACGTCGCGTTATACGACAGATTTCGGCAATGAGTTTTATTCCTGGATATCGTTCCATATATGCCGTGTCTTACCACATATTTGGGTATCCTAACGGCCAAACAGCGCGGCTATCATGAGAGAACGGTGATTTTTGGAAGCGTACAAAAGAGAGCAAGCCGTACGACGAAATGCTGTTTTAAGAGCACACACTTATTTGCAATGAAATAATTATTATTGAAATCGTTATTTGCAATGAAATAATAACACAATTAATGACAATGGAAAGAAGCGGTGCAGAATCGGTGCCGCCAGCACGGGATAGCAACGCGCGGAAAACCTAGCGCCCGTTGTTTAGTTAACAAAGATTATCATATGCTGACCGTTGCTATGTCGATCTCCGATTATGTATCTTGGCATGCCTAACTGTAAGGAAGTCATAAACATTCTCCGCCTGGTGGGACGGCCGATGTTCGGAGACGGGGAGGGGCACTGCTGTGAAATGTGACCGAATAGCTGTGCAGTAGGAATGGAAATGAGTCGTCCTATGAGGTGCACACGGGGCTCCAGGAGCGGGGGTCGAGATGGCTGCCATGTCCCTCGTCCCTCCTGGATACGCCATGCTTCACTGTATCGGACGACTATCATAGCCGACCAGATAAGCAAAACATCCGATACCGACAGCGGCAGCGTCTGGGGCCATGGGGCGGAGCAGAAGACCGGCAGCAGGCGGCGAGTCCCTCCAGCATGGGCGCCAGGCCAGCAGTGGTGCACAGGCGATCATTACGCCTACTTTTGTGCGAGGATGAAACGCTCATCTATTTTTTAAAGATATCTTAAATACACTTTAAATTCATACCCAGATGGCAAAACCAAAGTCCCAGTGTCACACAGGCCTTGGCAAGCTTCTGAAAGCTAAGTCAGGCTGTGCAATGGACAGTGAGTTATCTATTTCGGAGTGCTATTCAATTGTCATGGTTCTGGCAAACTTGAAAGTACATTTTTAGAGCCAGGCGTCAACTACGACCGACCTTGGATTACGATGAACGTGCTGACTGCATTACTCTGTAAGATCACCTGATCGTTGAAATCTGTGGAATTCTCGTTAGAATGCACAAACAAAATACCTAAAACTTAGCGCCCTGGTTCGGATGCAAAGATGAGACACCTACACGCTATTTAGAACCTGAAAAATCTGTAATCTTGCCCGCACGGTCAACCGAGTGGGTCTACGCCCCCCACATCCTAGATCCGAATCCTTGCGCATGCGTTTTTCCCGCAGACCATTCCTGGTCCAGATATAGGTGAGTTTTAGTCCACGGGCCATACGAAAAGGATGCCGATCACGTTCTTACGGAGTCGATGCCGAGCCCGACTAACGGCGTGCGGGGTTGGTTGTGGCTGATTCCGCGCCGTCCACCACGAATTTATTGGACTCCGATTCCAATGCCAGGTGCTATTACGCAATTTTGTCAGGCTTTGTTAGCGTCGATTATGTGCTCCCGTACTCGGATTTACTGCCATAAGACTGCAAAAAAGCCTCCGTGTGACAAGCATTTGGTAAACGAGCAAACAATATGGCAGCATGGATCCAAACGCGCGCAAGCCACTCTTCCTGTGGCTACAGGTAGAATGGTGACTGGTGCGCGATTCGTGAGTGGTTCTCAAATCATAAGTCATTTCTGCATGTCGCCCGGTCAAAGGCAACAAAGTGCAGTACCTCCATCGCTACAATTCCTTTGGAAATCTGCTGAATAGGAGGCTGCACAGCTGGTCCACAGAACTGATAAACTGCAATGTACCAAGGGGCTATGTCAGGTAGGTGTGCCGTCAGGAAGTGAGGGAAGTTGTCAATGATTAGGAGGCTCAGAGGCATTTTGAGTCGAGTTTTTTCTATGCACTGCCCTAAACTTAGTGCCAAACTGTCCAAAATCTTAGAGCACATAAAAAATGACACATAAGTACACGTCCAAGAAAGTGACGTCTCAAGAAAAGCTAGCAAGGCGACAGTTTCCGTACTTGTGCGTGGCACTCACCTGCACCTGTCCTTGTCCCATCCTTTTGGAAGGTGATTCCACGTCATGGTAAGATGACAGGGCACAAGCCATGTCTCCGATTCAAAATGTCAGCGCGTGAACACAAAAAACCAACTAGTGCCTGCTGAAAACCTATACGACGATCCTGACAATACCCCAACCCACTGCGAATGCAAAAACCAGTAGTAATTATCCGGAGAACGCGCGTAAACTGGCAGCCTCTTGCGGGCATATGAAAGAGAAAGGTTTATTTCAACAACGAGGTAATAAAGGAGTCGCAATAATTAAAACGAACATCAGGTAAAATTGCCAACACGTAAGTGTATCTGAAAGTCTGAAGACAATGTACGCATTTTTCTATGCACACACTATTTTTTTAATCTGATTTTCTTTTCTCAAAATATTCCTACTCGCGTCTAATTTTCTCATTTTCATTTTTAGGCCAACGACGTTTATGAAACAGACGCGTCGGATATGTCTTACATCATCATTTGTTTAGGTTTTTGTTCTGAATGGCCCGGGCGCTGAGGCCTCCTATGTTTGTGGGAACTGAAAACCTTATTAGCTGATGTTAGTGCTTATTTGGAGTTGTAAATTTGCAGGCATGTGGTCGGGTGCTTGGGGCTTGCCAAGCAGCAGATAGTCTGCAGGGCAGGATTGGAATGCAATGACGGTGGTTATAGCTTTCCACCCTGTTGTGTTACCGAACCGGTACTGCGACGGACTTGGTGAACCATAAGCAAGTTTCATAATCATTTTAATTGTGATCATTTGCTATTATAATGGCATCAATCTTAACATGTTATAGCACGACATATGCTAGCTATGTTGTCAGCAGCATCATGTATGATAATAGCAATATCATCATTGTCAGCATCAACTATTATCATTTTTGAAAATATTACGGACCCCTGAATCCACAGGCTGGAGAACCATTCACCATGTATATTGAATTTGCAGTCAGGCTGACAAAAAGCATCATGTTAACTTGCACTGGTCCGGGGCATGCAGAAACATCCTCCACCAGTATGTCTGGAACAAGTTTGATTCATAATAATGTTAAATGTGCCCAGAGCCTGGCTGACAGTGCTAATTTTAGAGGATAGAGAGTCACTGTCTCAGACTTTTGATGTTACAAATATGACTAAGAAAATGTTCTGAGACATTTTTCTAGCAAACAAAATAAGAAAATTACATGTCATTTGGCTTGCACTGAGTTTGGCACATATAATCAGGTGGTTTAGCCCACTGATTGTATGTCAATCATGCACAGTGCAGTGGATGGATTTCTTGAATGAATTGGTGGCACTGGCTCTGTCTATGAATTCTGAGATAATACCATAGTGCTTTGTTTTTCAGTTGCTGTTTGGTTGTGGTTGAACTCTCATCACACTGCCTGTAATACAAATATGCAATGCTCATAGTATCCTATAAACCCCAGCTTATCCTGACTGGAATTTATTGATAGATGTGATGACAAGAATGCATGATATAGGCACACTAAGTATACACACAACTTAATATGATGCAATATATCTAAGTATGAAGGAGGAGATTTTAAAGTATATTAGCATGTTAGGAATTAACATTGCTATTTGTTAATTATACATACACAAATGCACATATTTACCAACAAATGTTCAGGTCCATTTTCCAACATCAGGCAATCTTTGATGCATGAAGATAGATTTTTGAACATGAAGGGGCTTTTGCTCACTTGGATAGCAGGCTACCAGATATATTAAAACTTATCCAGAACCCTGCACATGAGGTAGAAGCAGACTGTTGGTAGAAGTGTTGGTAGAAGTGTTGGTAGAGTTCCCTGTTGGTAGAAGTAGGTCATGGTGATGGTGTGTTAACAGAACATGTGGGCAAAGCCTGACACCTGCTTTTGGAGCCTTGTCATAACACCTGTCCAAAAACTTGCAGTAAGTGGTCTTTGGTGTCAATATGACAGCTTTCCCACAATCAACACTGGTACTGCTGATGTGGATATGTTCATACTGGGACAGGTGTTTCAGCCCATGGCTATAAAAAAACTGACAAATATATTTTTTCTTCACAGGTCAGAAATGCCAACCAGGTTTGGTTCCAGAGGGTGTCCTGCATGCTCCAGGAAGATTGAATTGTAGTCCAGGTTTAAACAGGGTTTGGACGGTGAACCACAGATGATGTCTGCCGAACACAACAGGGAGCCGCTTGATGTCCTGATTCGTGAGTGTGCCTTGTCTTTCCACTACACTGGATGTTTCTTGCCTTGTTTTCCCATTATGGCCAAGTGCCTTGACCAATATGTTTTTATTGACCACACAAACAACATTAACGTGGTTTGGAGAGAGAGGTTTTACCACCACTTACACGACAGCTGTAGCTCTCACCCCTCTTCCTCCACAATGTTGACAAGCTGCAGATGCGAAGAAAATAGGCTACAGAAAGCCACCTGGCAGGCACAAATTATCACTTTGTCTATGAGTTGACCAATCACAATTGCTTGAGTCTGCAATATTTGCACCATTGTTCCTGTGCATGAAAGGTGTAGAAATGATTATTTATGAAAACCATATCGGCTTAAAATTACATCAGCTGTCTGCCCATTGTTCCAGAGAGGATCACCAATCCATTGAGCCAGAGCTATGACCCTGCCCTGGTGTATGCCTTCTGTGAACGCATCAAACAGCAGCAGGTGAGTGGCAAGAGATTGTAATGAGTGCTCAAGTCCTGTGACAAGGGTGCATGCTCACAGTGAATACCCCCCATTGATGATATTCATGTGCACAGCTAAGGGTAGGCTGAGGTCTTCTGCCTGACCACTTTCACAGATCTGGATGGTTTAGTACCATTGGTAGCCCTCTCAGCAAGTTATTAAAAGATACAGTGTGATGGGTTTTCACTGCCCTCCCTTCCTGTGAGAAAACCTTGGTTATGCCTCCAGTGATGAGAGGTCATGGTCAGTGGTGATGAGAGGTCATGGTCAGTAAGGAGATCATGGTAAGGAGGTCATGGTCAGTGGTGATGAGAGGTCATGATCAGTAAGGAGATCTTGGTAAGGAGGTCATGGTCAGTGGTGATGAGAGGTCATGACCAGTAAGGAGATCATGGTAAGGAGGTCATGGTCAGTGGTGATGAGAGGTCATGGTCAGTGGTGATGAGAGGTCATGGTCAGTGGTGATGAGAGGTCATGGTCAGTGGTGATGAGAGGTCATGGTCAGTGGTGATGAGAGGTCATGGTCAGTGGTGATGAGAGGTCATGGTCAGTGGTGATGAGAGGTCATTGTCAGTGGTGAGCAGTCATGGCTTGCCGAAGCAGTGAGAAGTCACGTTGTGACCGGCGGCGACCTCCGGAAGTGCTGCCACCGTGACACCGATCGCTAGCAGTGGCGGGGCGCCGCGCTAACTGGGCAGGGCTGCAGCCCGGCCCGGGGTAGCGACTGCAGCGCGCTCTCCCCTGGCAGCGAGTGGTGGATGTGGTCGTGGTTCACGACCACACAGGCTCGATTCGGGCTCAGCCACATAGTGAATACATTGCGATGTTAATCTTTGCTGGAGTAGCGGCGAACTCGAAGAGGCTTCGCGAAATTTAAAACTAGGGAAGTTGTAATATTCCGGGCATAATTTGCAATGATTTCGTAAAGCTCGGGTAAATAGTGACCTCTCACGTGAGCTTGATAAGTGATGAGGTCACTGACGTCATAACCCTGTCGTCTAGCAGTCGCCGGAGACGAATCGCTGTTAAAATTCCAAGCTCCTAATGTATGGATGTTTGAGCAGATATCTTGCAGCGGTTTTGTTAACTTTGCCGACCCGTTGGGACCATTGCCTGAGCTTTTGGCGGCCTGGTGTCCTGATGACCTCTGCCAGGTGGGCCGCGGCCTGTGCTGTCGAGTGATCGGTAATATTCGCGAGAATGACAAGGACGATCGCAAGTCAACGTACACTCCATGTCTGACCTGCTGTACTTCGCGCCATGTAAACCCAGGCCCAAAGTCGTCATTTCAATTTGGATTGCCCACGCACTGCCGGGGTGACCAGGTGCACTGTTACCCCCTCCCCCTCTCCTCCCCACCTCTCGCTGCAAGTAAGGCTGGAGATTTGCACGCCTATCAGTTGCATGCGTCATGAAATAGCCAAACAGCTGGCTTTATTATGATCTACGAGCGGCGCGCCCTTTGAATGACCTTGACGCCTTGGCAGGACGGGCCGGTGGCGGCCACGCGGCTGCTGGCGTACCGCATCCAGAGTCCGCAGGAGAAGGAGGCCATGCTCGCGCTGGATGTGAGTCGCGTGCCGGAGCTGGGGCTGAAGGCACGAGCGATGGACCGAGTCACGTGATGTAGTTGGAACCGTAGCTATGCGACGGGTCGAGAGTCACCTGTGTTGCCTCGTGGTGAAGGGACAAAGTTGCAGTTCATGTGATGAGAGGTAGGGATGAGAGGTTGGAAAGCAAGAACAATACTGAAATAACAGTATTGTTCCTAAAACTGAAACTGAAACTGAAGCTGAAGTGACTTGTGGTCATTCCGTGACAAACGTGACAAATGCATGGCGTTTTCCAGCTTTCTCATGCAATCAGTCAGACACTGACTGCTGCCGTCTGACTCGTGCTGCCCCCCCCCCCCCCGCACAGCTGCTGGACACGTGCGCGCGCTCGGCCGGGCCCGGCTTCCAGAGCGAGCTGGGCAAGTTCCGCTTCCTGAACGAGCTGATCAAGCTGCTGTCGCCGCGCTACCTGGGCGCCCGCTCGCCGCAGCGCGTCAAACAGCGCGTGGCGGACCTGCTGCTGAGCTGGGCACGCCTGCTGCCGCACGAGACCAAGATCCAGGAGGCCTTCACCCTGGTCGAGAAGCAGGGTCTGCTGGCCATGCACGGAGTGAGTGGGGTGGAGCCGCTGAGGGAAAGAAAAACTGCGCTCGGTGAAGAAAGCACGGACCAGAGCGAGGGAATTTCGCTCGGTTGTCTTTGTACTTCTGGATTTCGGTCAGGCGTCTTCTCGGTCTACTTTGTAGTTGTTTGGGTGGGTTTCACGCTAAGATAGAGTTTTCTGCTCGACGCCCTGGGCAGCGCAGAGCTGAACTATGTAGCATTTCTGGGCATACAGGGGTAGGTTTTTGGGGTCAAGGCCGGTAGTTGTCTTCGCCTGCGGTGAAGGATCAGCGCGCATCCGGGCTGGACTACATGGCTGTGTTCTCCTTGATCCCGCTTCTACATGGCTGTGTTCTCGTAGCCATTCAGAGTTGGCTCTTCAGTCCCCCGCCGTGTGCCGGCTGGGGGGGGGGGGGGGCGGGCTCCGTAAAGAGCACACCAGACAGGCTCTCACGTGTGAGGTGGACGAGGGGCTCCGTCAAGAGCACGCCAGACTCTCACGTGCGAGGGGGGGGGGGGCAAGGGGGTTCCGTGAAGAGCACGCCAGACTCACGTGCGAGAAGGACGAGGGGACTCCGTAAAGAGCCGCCAGACACGTGCGAGGGGGACGAGGGGGCTCCGTGAAGAGCACGCCAGACTCGCGTGCGAGGGGGACGAGGGGATTCGGTGAAGAGCACGCCAGACTCATGTGCGAGGGGGACGAGGGGGCTCCGTGAAGAGCACGCCAGACTCTCACATGTGAGGCTCCGGCTCGACATTCGGCTGGCATTGTCGCGTCCCCGATATAGCCAAAACAGCCGCTAGCACTTCATTAAGGGTCTGCGACGACGGAGTTTGTGGGGCGCTAAAAATATCATCTGTCGTAGGCATGCGGCGTGCTTTGGTGTAGTCGGGACGTTTGAATCGTGATGGCTGCTGCGGCGCTGGTGTGGCGAGGCATTCCTGCATGACGTTCGTAATGCTGGACGTGCTTTTTGTGCGGTCCCGGCTGAGAAGTTGGAAAAGTGCCTCGTGAGGTGGTTACCAGTCGGCATGGACAAGCTGGTTTCAGCTTTTCAGTTTTGAACGTGTGATAGTCTAGCATGGTCTGGTCGAGCATTTGTCCCAATTGGTGGCATGAACATGTCTGATTGCATAGCAATTCATGCTTCCCTTTGTTAGAGCTGCATTCTAATGTATTCATGTCGTGCTGATGTAGCACACAGCAGGTAGTTACTGAATGCTAATGCTTGGCCGCTGTCATATGAGTGAAACTCTGAACGCTAGCATCCAACAGTTTACAATTATGTGTTTAGCATGAATATTGCATCCATTCATGTGTGATGCCGCCTATGTCTGTCTGGCATGCTACCCATTACAATTGTGTGTTTAGCATAAACATTTGCATCCATTCATGTGTGATGCCGCCTATGTCTGTCTAGCATGCTACCCGTACATCTGGCGCTTACGATTGGCGTCAGTTTGACCGTGCGCGCTGTGACTGACCGTGTGCGCATGCGCCTGGGTAGATTACGGCCCGCCAGAATGGTGGCGCCTCGGAGCGGCCAGACCCGGAACTAGCCAAGGCCGAGCACGCCGCGCCGGATGTAGCGGTACGTTTAGCAGGATGTGGGGAGATATTCTCATGGGATGTTGCCGGCTCGAGATATTCTCATGGGATGTAGCCGGCTCGAGATATTCCCATGGGACGTAGCCGGCTCGAGATATTCTCATGGGATGTAGCCGGCTCGAGATATCCTCATGGGATGTAGCCGGCTCGAGATATTCTCATGGGATGTAGCCGGCTCGAGATATTCTCATGGGATGTAGCTGGCTCGAGATATTCTCATGGGATGTAGCCGGCTCGAGATATTCTCGTGGGATGTAGCCGCTCGAGATATTCTCATGGGATGTAGCTGGCTCGAGATATTCTGCATGGGATGTAGCCGCAACGTCTTTGAACAAAACCTCGCTACTGTTTCGATAAAAGTATGTTGCCAAAACATCAACCCATCTATATCTCCATTACCCCGGTTTTTCTCCGAGGAATAGGGCTATTACTACCGTCTTATCTATGGAAAAAATTGTGCTACCTTCCTATTCTTACCATTTAAAATCAAGGGTTTCATGACTTCAGGATTTGCACTCAGCTGCCCATTGTTCAACATGCCATGAAACCACTGTTTCTGCCTCGCCGTCATGGGTCAATATTTGTTGTGAGATGCTGATGGACCATTGCATTGTGCAATGCTAACAGACACATTGCATCATTTTTTTTTGTCCAGGTGCATGTGTGCCTTGTATCACCATTTGTGATGCTCACTTGTATTCGTAGGCCGTAATCAGTAGCGCAAACCTCTGACTGCTGCAGCTGGATCCCCATCGGCCGCCCACTCCGCCGCTGCCATCCACCGACAGACCTCAGAATCCCATCTTCGACGACAGCCAGAAGGCGGCGCTGCTGAAGCGTCTCCTTCAGAGCACAAACCCTGAGGACATTCAAGCAGCCAACCGCCTCATCAAGACCATGGTGAAACAGGTGAGAAGCTGCGGAGGCGCTACTATTAGCGCATTCGGCACGTTTGACGCTACTGCAGTGATGCATGGAAATGTGATGCATTTGGTATGCCATTTTAGGATGACATAAGGTGACCTATGATGACGTGTTACCTCTATGTTTAGATATCACTCGTTGGTTTTGTGTGATGCGCGACCTGTGAGGCGAGTTACTTCTGTATAAGTTATCAAACATAAATAGACAAGTAGGACCCATGCATGACCGAGGACCACATGACCACTGTGACTCACGCGTGACCCTTGGACCATGTGACCGTGTGATCGTGTGACCATGCATCGGTGTGACCGATGTCCTGACCGCCAGGACGAGGAGCGTGTGGAGCGCGCCAGCCGCCGCGTCTCCGAGCTGGAGGTGGTCCGCACCAACCTGCGCCTGCTGGACGAGATGATGGACAATTACTCGCCAGGTGGGTCGCCTTGCTGCGTCGCGCGGGCAGCCAGTGCGGCCTGCGCCGGCGCGTGGCCGCCGGCCGGCCGGCCGGGCTGAGCGCGCCTCCGGGCCGGGTGGCGGCGTGTCGTCCGGAGGCGCGCGTGCGCCTGCTATCCATGTGACCCGCTGACTGCGGGTGACGGGGGGCCGACCGCTGAGCGGGGCTGCACGTGCGGCCGGCCGCACCGACCGCCGGAGGCAGCTCGCGTCCTGCGCCGGGTACGGTTCCCCCGGACGCGGTGGCCAGGGCGGGGGCACGGAGTGGAGGCGCGGGCGGTGGTGGGTGATGGCTCGGAGGATGCGTGCGGTGACCCGACTGTGGCACGTCACGATCATGTCCTGCTGCGTCGTAGCTCTTCTGTAGCCCTGCCGTGGGATGTGTTCTCCGAGGCCTCGATTGCGTGATAGCAGAAGTTGGCAGATGTCGTTACGAGTTAAAAGTTCTTGTGTTGAGGTAACGACCTTCAATACACCAGGTGGTGCTGCTTAGTCGACGTCGCCACGCTATATAATAATCATCTTGAATGCTGTAAATGTAATTGCCATTTCACATTACAACGTCGTTTGATCATTATCTCCTGGTATATTGAAGGTCGTTAACTCAGCAGAAGAACTTGCAACTCAACATGCTGAAAAAAGAAGCTAAAGGCCCATCTTTCTGGTATCAAGTACAACTTAAACCAGATAGCAGTTAACTAAAGCCAAAGCACAATGTGCACCCTTCTGAATCCAACTGTGCATGTGGCCATGAATCTGCCCAGCTCCACCGACCCGTCCCATTTAACCGTGACCTTGAGATGAAGATCATATGTCAATTAGATGTTTATATAATGCGCGCCAAATGACCACCGCAGTCGGCGCGCCCTAAAACACCGATTAACAACAAACAAAATGTTTATATGGGCACTGCTAAACTGCTTAAAGGCATATGTGGTGTGATCTAGAATGGCATATGTTGTGACTTTACTTCAGTAGATGGCCTGTTTGGGTCGATTGCGGCTTACCCCCTCCGCGCCGGACGCGGCCGTGACCCCCGTCCGGCGGCGGTGGGACTGTACCCGTCGCTGACCGGGGCTGGACTTGACCTGTCGGCAGCGACCACCTCGCGGGACGAGCTGGAGCTGATGGCGGAGCTGAAGACGTCCTGCGGCCAGCTCAGAGCCAAACTAGACAACCTGGCGGCGGAGACGGACGACCAGGACCCGGCGCTGGGTCAGTGGGGCACGCCGGGGTCACTTCTGCTGACTTTCACCCGGGGGAGGGACGACCAGGACCCGGCGCTGGGTCAGTGAGGCACGCTGGGGTCACGTCAGCAGACCTTCACCCGGGGGAGGGGAGACCAGGACCAGGCGCTGGGTCAGTGAGACGCGCCGGGGTCACTTCTGCTGACCTTCACCCGGGGGAGGGGAGACCAGGACCCAGCGCTGGGTCAGTGAGACGCGCCGGGGTCACTTCTGCTGACCTTCACCCGGGGGAGGGGAGACCAGGACCCGGCGCTGGGTCAGTGAGACGCGCCGGGGTCACTTCAGCTGACCTTCATCCGGAGTGGGGAGACTAGGACCCGGCGCTTGGCCAGAACCCGGAGGAAGGGGAGGACGTTTGTCCAGTCACGTTTTGCAGTGTTTAGCTGTTGCTGCTGGGCAGTTTGGCTGCCAGGTTAGGTGGTAGGGGCCTCATGTCTAGTGCCAGCCACATTTAGGTGTGGTTAGCGATGCTTTGTAGGTAGAGCTGAATACATTTGAATGCTTAAGTTCAGTTCATTTTCAAGCAGCACCAGGCGAGCTGATATTAACCAGCTACCTTCGTGACCTGACCTGACCTGACCACTACTCCCAGGTGAGCTGTTGCAACCACTGACCCACGTGGCTTAATCTGACCTGACTTGGCCCACATGGCTAGATGCCCACTGTTGTTCACCATTGAGCCACCTGACCTGACCTGACCTGACCTGACCTGACCTGACCTGACCGCTGCCGCCAGGTGAGCTGGTGGCGGCCAGTGACGAGATCGGCCGCGTGCTGGGCCGCCACGACGCCCTGCTGTCGGCCGGCGCGCCGCCGCTCACCCTGCTGCAGCTGGAGTCGCCGCAGGAGCAGCCGCGCCCGCCACCCTCCGGCCAGCAGCTGCTGCACCAGCAGCTGGCCCAGCTGGGTAGGGGACGTGGCGCCGCCGTCGGCCGCTGCTGGGCTAGCCCGGACACCGGTCTCTCCATGACAGATCTGTGCCAGTGGATAGCTGTCTGAAGGTGTAAATAGGCCTACTTATCATCTGCTATTGTATTCTGTATATTGCCAGTTACCATAGGCTGGAACATCCAAGGTGTTGGCGCCGGACAAAAGGCAGTTCGATTTCCCTACTCCATTTGTACCTCTGATGACAGACAGCCAACCCGTGCCCCTCTCTTGACCCTCATCGCCCACATCGTGGCCCGCTGCATGCAAAGATGATAACGCCCAGTTCGCTGCAGGCCTGGCCGACCTGGAGTCGTCGGTGGAGACGGCGGCGGCGGCGGCACCCCCTGACGGCGGGGATCTGCTCTGTCAGCCGACGCCGCCGGTCGGACAGCCACTCGGTCCCGGGCCAGCCCCGACCGGGCCTGCTGCCCTGTCCAGCGGGCTATCCGGCGGATTGTCCGGCGCTACCGGATTGTCCGGCACCAGCGGGCTGTCCGGCGGCGGCGGATTGTCCGGCACCAGCGGGCTGTCCGGCGGCGGCGGATTGTCCAGCACCAGTGGATTGTCCGGCACCAGCGGACTGTCCGGCGCCGGCGGATTGTCCAGCACCAGCGGGCTGTCCGGCACCAGTGGATTGTCCGGCGCTAGCGGGCTGTCCAGCACCAGCGGATTGCCCAGGGCGGCGCCGGCTCCGGCCTCCGCCGCTCCGTCCGGCCCGAGCGGCGCTGCGCTGGCGGATCTGCTCGGCGCGCTGGGTCCGCCGACGACGGTGGCGCCACCTCCGCCCGTGCAGCGGAGCCCGCAGGTTAGCAGCCGCCCCCGGACGGCTGGCGCCCCCTGGGGGCAGTGCGCGGACTACGGACGTGGTGCTGGGTCTGGAGACAGTGTTGGCGGTTAGACGTGCTTCAGCCTGGTGCTCAGTGGAGGTTATTTTGATTTTGGTTTTCTTGAGAACACTGTTTTCCGGAAATTAAGGTGAGCTTTGTTCTTGAGTGATTGTACTGGCGTCGGTGGGTGCCGGTTTTGTACCGCGACGTTCTCTTTTTGTACACCTCACGCCCCAGAGCTATTGGCAGCAGTGCCAGTCTGGCATTATTCCCTAACAACACCATTATGCCCTAATTCCGCCTCCTCCCCACAGAGGGCAGCACCGGCGCCGTGCCCACCGGCTCGCTCCGCCTTCGATGACCTGGATGACCTGGTGCGCCTCAGCATGTCGGGCTCGGCCCCGCCTAACAGCAGGTCAGGGCAGGGGGAGGACAGTGCCACGTCCGCACCCGACAGTATGGGGATTGTATGCCCGGGATGTGTAAAAAGCAGGCTACATCTGCGTGAAGCATGACATTTTGAAGGTCTTAAAACAATAGCTTTATGGAAATATCAAATCGTAAAATGGGGAGGGGGGGACAAAACAAGGTTGTAAAACAGCATCTGCGTGGGACTATGGAATTGCGCTCTTGGCGTACGTTCTCATATCGTTTTCTCGCGCTGGTTCTGTATGTTGGTCGGCCGCGCCATACCCCGTGCCAGATGCGGCCCTGCACCGGGGGTACAGTTTCAACGTCTGATTTTACATCCGTTCACGCCTTGTGTACCAGCAACAGAATTTCTGCGAGTTTCTCAGTCAGCTGTTGCGGTCTAGAGGCGCCAGTTTTAAGCTCGCAGGTCCGCAAAGCGCGGATGAAAAGGGCTCAAAAGTGGTGCATCTCTGGTCACCCATGCCTGGCGACTGCAGAATGTCCTGCGGATTCTGCAGACGTCAGCAACCGGGAACGAGAAGTGCCGGTTTTGAGGTCTTTTTCCCGGCTTTTGTGAGGATGCGGGGTTAAATGTGCTGTCACTAGTTCGCAACAGCCGACTGGCTACGAAATTTGCAGCGGTCCTGCACCCAGTGTGCAAGGCGTAAATGGACTATTACTGTTCATTCTTGATCGATTTTGGAATGTTTGAAGACTGTTCAGTATATTACCCACTTTATGTTGTGAAAAATGAAAGAGGATTGGTTCTGCCCATCTGCTCTGGCCTGTCCTCGGCTCGCTCCACTGGTACGAGTGGACCCAGTTTTACTCTAAAATGTGGCATCAATGCTGCTTTGTGAGAATGCTGACTTACATTCAAGAGATTGTCAGGTATAATTTGTGCACTTATGTGCTCAAAGGCGAAGTTTCTGGTGAAATGATGGAAAATGTCTCTTAGGAAATGGCTACAGGTTACAAGGCATTTTTCGTATCTAACCCCCCCCCCCCTCCGATCTTTTTTACGTATGACTGCAGACTAGTGCAAGCTTGTTTACAAGCTAACTCCAAATACTTTCCACAGGACCATCAAGACTCCTCCGATTCCGTCCAGTCCACGCTCCGCCCCTCCTGGAAAAGCAACCAATCAGAGCGCGGTGCCGTCCACAACCTTTGTCCTCCAGCCCGTCAAGGATGCCAGTCCGCCGTCACCGACCAATCAGGGCGCAACGAACGGCTCGGAGCACTCGCTACTGGACTTCGGCTGCGAGCAGTCGGGGGCGGCGCCTAACGGGCATCAGCCAACCGGCGAACTGCATGGTGATGACGTCAGCTTGCTGTCGGCGCTGAGTGGTCCGAGCTCGCACGACTCGCTGCTGTCCGACGGAAGGTCAGATGAAGGTCAAGTGCGGGCGGCAGGAGAGCCAGCGGCCACTGGGAAGCTGCTGAGCTTGGCGGACGTTACTGTACCGCTGGAGGATATCAAGCCAGGTGAGGCGGACAGAGGGCAGGAGGAGGGCTGTGGGCAGGCTAAGGTACTGTGTCCCGGAGTGGTGTGATGGAAAAGGTGTCATTGGTCGTTAGCATGGAGGATGTTTGACAGATGCCAGTTTATACGCTTTCCGCCCCTGGGGCTTGATCATTGAAAACATTTGAAAGCTTCTTAAATATTTAAATGACAACCATGCATTAGCACTGATACGGAATGTTTAACGTTGGCAATTCATAAAAAGTAATTAGGTCATTCCGATATTTTGGCATCATGAAAGACCGTCCAGAATTCCTTTGCTCAGGAGGATAGCACCAAACTAACCATTCCTGTGGCTGCTAAATTCTCGTATTGTGGTGGCATAAGTGTTGTTGGGCTCGAACTAGGCCACGGTCTTTTCAAACGGATCACTTCGGCTCGCTGCATATTTCATTTAATCTGGCATGTCTTTGTGTAGTCATCTGGCTACACAGCAACGGTCGTCGATGGGACGATGGGACCTTCTCTCCACTCCATCCATGTTGTTGCCCCATATTGGCTACCACCATAAAACGATGTTATTGGATGAAATTTGGGCGTCTATTAAGCTTGTCATCACTAATTTGATTCATTGGTTGTTCCAACGTGTCACCTTGACCTGCTCCACCGTCTGACCTCGGTTGGACCCCGCATCGGACCTGGCTGACCAACCATCCGACCTTGAACCGACTCGCCACGTGGGCTTGGCTTGATTCACCGCCTGGCAACTCCACCGCCGACCTCCGATCCCACCGCACCCGCCACTGCGTGTGCCCACCGCCTGACCTTGGCGTGACCTGCAGGCGGCGGGCCACCGGTGCCCCTGTTCTCGGAGCCCGCCTCGTTGGAGATCGCGCTGCACCCCGCCGGCAACCGGCCGCGGCCCGACGTCACCGTCTACGTCATCACGGCGCTCAACCGAACCGGCCGGCCCGTCTCGCAGTACACACTGCAGGCCGTTTGCGATAAGGTGTGACGTCATTGTGACGCCATTGGTGTTTTCGAGTTGGCTTGCCCGCGGGCGTGGGGTGTGGTTTGCGTACTATCATGTGCATATAATATCCCTTTGTTGACGCATTCAAACGTACCTCATAGTTGGTGAATGGCTCAAATGTACCCCATGGTTGGTGAATTGCTGGTCTGTTTCATATCTACTTGGGTTCCAGCGTGGCCCTCATTGTACCGGTGTGGCACAAGACTTGACTCGTGTTGTCCTTAAACGCCGGAATCTTACGTTCTTGGAATCGCTTTAAGAGAGACCCTGGGAGAGATATAAGAGGGCCTTACGATAAATCCAGCCCTCCTGGCACGTGCCTGCGGGCTGTCGTGCGTCGCAGGCGCCCCTTCCCGGGCTACTCCGGCGGCCGTTCAGTATTCCGCCCTCACGACCCGCTGCGTCCGCCGTGTCGTCGTGTTCTCTTTGGAGGGCGCTCGCCGCCCGTGTGCGGGTGTGCTGGTGGCCGTGGTGGCTGTGTTGACGCCCGCTGACGGCGGCGGCAGGGCGCGCGGGTGCGCCTGCAGCCGCCCTCCTCCGCCGACCTGCCGGCCGGCTCGCCGTTCCTGCCGCCGCCGGCCGCCAGCCAGGTGATGCTGCTCGCCAACCCGCAGCAGGTCAGTAAGGCCGGTACCGGGCAGTAGTGGGCACCGTGACTGGGCAGTGATGGGCACCGTGACTGGGCAGTGATGGGCACCGTGACTGGGCAGTGGTGGGCACCGTGACCGGGCAGTGATGGGTACCGTGAGCTGGCAATGGTGGGCACCGTGACCGGGCATTGGTGGGCACCGTGACTGGGCAGTGATGGGCACCGTGACTGGGCATTGGTGGGCACCGTGACTGGGCAGTGATGGGCACCGTGACCGGGCAGTGATGGGCACCGTGACCGGGCAGTGGTGGGCACCGTGACCGGGCAGTGATGGGCACCGTGACTGGGCATTGGTGGGCACCGTGACTGGGCATTGGTGGGCACCGTGACTGGACATTGGTGGGCACCGTGACCGGGCAGTGATGGGCACCGTGACTGGGCATTGGTGGGCACCGTGACTGGGCATTGGTGGGCACCGTGACTGGGCAGTGATGGGCACCGTGACCGGGCAGTGATGGGCACCGTGACCGGGCCGGGCAGTGGTGGGCACCGTGACTGAGCATTGGTGGGCACCGTGACTGGGCATTGGTGGGCACCGTGACCGGGCAGTGGTGGGCACCGTGACCGCGCAGTGGTGGGCACCGTGACCGGGCATTGGTGGGCACCGTGACCGGGCAGTGATGAGGACCGTGACTGGGCAGTGATGGGCACCGTGACCGGGCAGTGATGGTTGAGCCGGAATACTTGGATGACTCATACCAAGCGTAAGGCTAGTTAACTGTCAAACAGTTCACACGCTCATTATGCGAACATAACGCACCAGCGAACGCTATCATTGGCCGCCAGCATGTATAACCACCTCCTAGCAGGTGTTTTGTTGATTGCTACTGGGAGGCAGATCCTTTCGAACACGCTGTGATGAACCGTTTACTCTGATCACGCCTTTGATACAGCTCTTCCTCCTTGTTTGGGAGCGCCGCTGATCCCTCCCCTCCTAATCACATCTCCAATGAACCGGGCGGGCACCGGCTGAAACTCACCCCCACCCTTCCGGCGTGCCCCGACTGTGCCCCGCTCCTCCCTGCCTGAGGTCGCCTCCGGTCGCTCGCCGCCCCGCTCCGTCTGGGCACACCTCTGACGCCGCCCCCGCCGCCCCGGCAGCTGAAGGTGACGCTGCGCTTCATGCTCAGCTACAGCGTCGACGGCGACACCGTCACCGAGATGGCCGACGTGGCGGATCCGGGCCGTCCCTAGCCGGGGCCCACGGCGTCCGAGCTCGTCACGTGACGGCAGCGTCACGCCACGTCACCGGCGTCACGTGACGGCAGCGTCACGCCACGTCACCGGCGTCACGTGACGGCAGCGTCACGCCACGTCACCGGCGTCACGTGACGGCAGTGTCACGCCACGCCACCGACGTCATGTGACGGCAGTGTCACGCCACGACACCGACGTCATGTGACGGCAGTGTCACGCCACGTCACCGACGTCATCTGACACCGACCACTTCAGCCGCCCGTGGCGGGCTCTGGCGTGGTCGATAATGTCGTGTGTTGTCATGTCCCCGGGACCTCTGCTGCTCCCGCTCTGCGCTGACGTCGAACACAGTCGCGCCGGAGCGTAGTCGGCTGCGGCGGCGGCGGGTACTGCCGTCGAGTGTGGCGAGATCGCCGGCCGCCGCCGCCCCGTGCCGCCCGCCGCGCCGTGCGTGACGGGCGTGACGTCTCAGTGTGGCGTTCGCCCCGTGACGCCTCGCGCAGCGCCGGCTGGCGGCGCCGGAGCGTCGGCGCCCGCTCCCGCACCCGCGCGGCCAGCGAGAGAGAACACTGGCGGCGACCTGAAGCCGAGCCGAGCGGCCGCGGCTCTGGACCGCCGTCCCGCCTGAACTGAGCCTGGGCAGCCGGTTCATGCGCGGGCGCAGAGCACCAGCCGTGCCAGTGTGAATGGGGCGCAGCGGCCCGCCGCCGCCGCCGCCGGCTGCGGGACGCTGGGACCGCGCACCGTCGGCCGTCCGTTCCGCCACCATTCCGCCCTCGCCGCGACGCTCCGTGGTCTCCCGCCGGCCTGACACGGCGTGTGCCCAGCCGCGCGGGGCGCCATCCGCCGCCGCAGCCAGCTTCGGACGGTGCGGGTTACAGTGATCAAATCTACTGAATTGTGAGTGTGCAAGGTGCTTTCTCCTAAGGGGTGGGGGTGGCACCGCTGTCCCGCTCGCACACGTGAGCTATCGCCTTCCGCTTCCTTGCACCGGTGTTCTGAGCTTCCGGCGTTCCTTCCACGCCGTGCATTCTCCGTCGAGGCACACGCTATGCATTTGAGGCGCGTCTGCGCCATGCGCCCGCGTTCCCCCTTACGTGCGTCCTGCCTGGCCTGTACGACTTTGGCGGCGCTCGGTCGGCGACTGGCCGCTGGGCTGCGCGCCGATTTCCGCCGAGCCACGCCGCTCGGCCCTGGCCAGTATCCGCCGTCCCCCGCGCCGCGGCGCCAGCTGAGTGTGGGAGTGGGCGTTGGGTTTGTTCTGTGTTGGCTCTTGTTGTCTAGTCAGGTGTCTGCGGACAATACAGGCTGTGGACGACAGATGGCGTTTGGGTCGCTGGCCCCGGCCCTGTTCGGCGGCCACGCCTGCTGGTCGCGGCCGATTTCAGTGCTGGTTTGCCATGCTTACTCGGCCGGCCCACGTCGGCCAAGCCCTTCGCCGCGTCGTCGTCATACGTAGCCGTCCCGCCAAGTGAATGGGAAACTCGCCACGCCCAGGAAATGTCATGAACAGCTTCCCAACTCCCAGCGCTCAGCGCGCGAGACTGGCCTCTGTGGCGCGTGTGACGCGCTCTCGCGGACGTGAGAGCACTGCCCGCAGTTCGAAGGACGCTCGACATGCCGCCGCCTTGTTGCTTATCCGTTCGGTCCTAGCATACCGCCCTGTTGCTTATCCGTTCGGTACTGCCATGCCGCCTTCTTGCTTATCCGTTCGGTCCTAGCATGCCGCCTTGTTGCTTATCCGTTCGGTCTTAGCATATCGCCTTCTTGCTTATCCGTTCGGTCCTAGCATACCGCCTTGTTGCTTATCCGTTCGGTCCTAGTATACCGCCTTGTTCACTGTCCTTGTCCGCTCGGTCCTAGCATACCGCCTTGTTACTTCACTGTCCTTGTCCATTCGTTCCAAATATACCGCCTTGTTACTTCACTATCATTGTCCGTTCAGTCCTAGCACACCGCCTTGTTTCTTCACTGTTCTTGTCCGTTCGGTCCTAGCATACCGCCTCGTTACTTCACTGTCCTTGTCTGTTCTTTCCAAATATACCTCCTTGTTACTTCACTGTCACTTCTAGCCAAACGACATGTTACGAAAGGAGCGCCATTTATCCCTGAATCGTACAACAACGTACATGCCTTAAGAAAGCGAAACAAACTGGCCCTGGAAAACACCGTGGACCACCGTCACCCGACCTTACACGCGGCTTGGCGGCCGGGGACAGACCAGACGCCCTTGTCTTGACTGACGCCCAGACAGACTTGACGCCCAGATCACTCACAAATGAGCGGTTAAATGAATACTTGATTACAAAAAAGCTCCCCATCCTCTCCAGGCTTTTGGAGGCCCACATGCCCCTGTTCTCCCGCTCCCGGTGTCGCCACCTGTTGTCAGCCCAGCGAACGTCTAGTTCACGAGTTCTTCTGCGGCATGGCGGTGACGACCACCTTGACCTCCGTGTAGTTCTGCAGGCCGTAGGAGCCCTTCTCGCGGCCGTGGCCCGACATCTTGTAGCCGCCGAACGGCGCCTGCGACGGGAAGTCGTTGTACATGTTGATCCTGCAACACGAGCGGGGTGAGCCTCAGTGGCGGTGGTGAGCGCGCCGCGGCGGCAGCGGCAGCGGGGCACCGCCTCTCGGCGGGCGAGGCGACGGCACGTCGTGGCCGGACGGGCCGGCGCCGTCTCCTAGGATTAGGGATACGCGGCAGACAGCGCACGATAGAGAAGGATGGGGACTGTTGCTGTACAATTGAGAGGACATTTACCATGCAATGAAGACGCATAATTTTCTAGACGGTTTCTGCCCGCATCCCTCACACAAGTATACCGGGAGCCAGCCGTCTCAGGTAACACGTCACCGTCGCCGCGACGACCAAACATGAACCATCCTGCCCTGCAACAGCCTGCACAGGCTAGACCGCGGACAACGCCAGCCATGCCTGGCCTGGCCTGACCTTGGCCTGATCACAACCCGTTGACTGGCCAGCAAGCCCCCCCCCCCCCCCAACTCCTATCCCAGGCCTGACCACCGCGTCCTGCCGTCCGAGAGATCACCGCCGGCCTCCCTGCCCTTCGCCCGGTCACAGCTGCAGCCGGCGCGGCGTGCCCGTCGCCTCACCAGACTGTGCCGCTGCGCAGACCCTGGGCTGTCCTGTTGGCCAGGTTGAGGTCGCGCGTGAACACGCCCGCCGCCAGGCCGTAGATGGAGTTGTTGGCGCGCTCGATCACCTCCTCGACCGTGGAGAACTTCATGATCTGCTGCACCGGGCCGAAGATCTGCCGCGAGAGCGTCCGTCAAGACCGTCCGAAGATCTGCCGCGAGAGCGTCCGTCAAGACCGTCCGAAGATCTGTCGCGAGAGCGTCCGTCAAGAGAGTTCCAAGATCTGCCACGAGAACGTCCGTCAGCCGGCGGCCCGCGCACGGGGAGGCCGCGGCCCGATCATCATCACCGCCGCACGCAACACACACTCACACTTCGTCGTCGTGTTATCGGACGCATGCGAACCAGTCATCGGACATCGGAGGCCTGACGGACCAGCCGCGATGCTGGTTCACGTTGTGACCATTTAGTGACGTCAGCGCAGCCAGTGTTCAGTTCCCTGAGATTCGCTCGCTGACTCCGTGCCAGGCTCAGTCAGTCAGTCACAGCTCTAGACGGATTTTCAGTCAGAGTGCACATTTTCATTACCTTCTTACGCGGTCCCGTGCCAGCAGTGGTATGCGAACAGCGTTTGAGCACATTTCTCTTCATGCGATCTCCGTTTCGAAGTGAGTTCAACCGGTGCACAGACTCATGGGTCTACCTGTATTCTCAATAAGTGAAGCAGTCGCATCCAGACATCTCAGAAAATTCACATGGAGTCTTTAGCGATGGATAAAAAGGTACCCCCAAAATGTGCTTTGCAACCCCAACAAATGGGGGCGAAAGTTACACCTTGGCACTGACCTCCTCCTTGGCGATGGTCATGTCGTCCTTGACGTCGGTGAAGACGGTGGGCTGGACGAAGTAGCCCTTGTCGCCGTGCCTGCCGCCGCCGTGCGCCAGGTGGGCGCCCTCCTTCTTGCCCGTCTCCACCAGACCCATGATCTTGTTCATCTGAGCCTCACTGATCTGCGAACCGCGACCAGGCCCGTCTCCCGTCACCGGACCGTGCCAGCTGTGCGTGACGCGGCCACGAGCGGGACCGCCTTGACCCAGGCCCGTCTCCCGTCACCGGATCGTGCCAGCTGCGCGTGACGCGGCCACGAGCGGGACCGCGCTGACAGCGGGCACGTACGGAGCCGGGTCGTCCGAGTATTCCCGTGCTGCGCCTGTTAACCCTAACCCTAACCCTGAGGTGCCGCTGGGGGCTCAGCGGGCAGTAACCAAGTAAGACCAAGTAAGACCAAGGCGGTGCTCGGTGTCAGAAATGCAAAAGGTCTGCGTGAGGCATGCAGTTCGACTGCCGCACCGCTGATGGACGCCCACTGAAAATAGTGTTGAGTCATCGAGCCTGAGCTGAAATCGCGGTGGGTCATCGGACCTGAGCTGAAATAGTGTTGGGCATCGGACCTGAGCTGAAATAGTGTTGGGTCGTCGGACCTGAGCTAGAATAGCGTTGGGCCATCGGACCTGAGCCGAAATAGTGTTGGGTCATCGGACTTGAGCTGAAATACTGCGACCCACCTCCAGCACGGCCGCACTGCGAATGATAAAGTTAGTGTCGCTCAGAGGTCTTGTCATCTGCTGAATTAACTGACATCAGGGTCTTGAGTGGTGTCCCGCAACTCTTCGGGTGGTAATCCTCTCTCCTCTGTCACCCATCACATTTGCCTCATTTCCTCACTTCTTAACTGGCGTCCATTTTCCCTAAAAGCCCAGCAACATCGCATAACTAAGTGTTGTACGTGTCCTCCTCCGCCTAATAAACAAAGCTTTTCACACTATTTGCGGAACACCGACCTCATGCCGATTAAGACACCACTAAACGGTAATGCTCCTTTACGCGTGTTATCCGATATCTGGGCCTTATCTTTTCGGTCGCTCCTGCGCCATCAACGATACCGTCGTTTTTCGCGACAGTCACAAGGTAAGTGTTGCTCTCGTTCCGGTTGGTTTGAGGCGGAGCCGGCGTGGACTGTGCCGCTGTGGACTGTGCCGATGTGAACTATGCCGGTGTGAACTGTGCCAGTTGGACTGTGCCGGTCTGGACTGCTCCGCTGTAAACTGTGCCGGTGTGGACTGCGCCGGTGTGGATTGCACCACTGTTGGCTGCGCCTGTGTGGATTGTACCACTGTGGACTGTGCCGGCGTGGACTGTTCTGGTGTGGATTATACCACTGGGGACTGTGCCCGTGTGGACTGTGCCGGCGTGGACTGTTCCGGTGTGGACTGTGCCGCTGTGGATTGTTCCGGTGTGGAATGTACCACTA